TCTCTCCCAGAAGTTCTGCCTAAACTTTTCCTGGCTTGCTATTCATCTTTCAGATCTTCATAAAACAACTGCATGACACGTCTTCACACAGTGTAATTTAATATTCTGCAACAGTCCTCAATTTATATAGAATGTGCATGATGGTGCTATGTTCACAGGGGTGGAGTGGCTGAGTGTCTGTACTCTTATACATAATTTCTCACATCAGCTTAGCCCAGATGTGTCTTTCTTTACCTATCTTTCACTTGTGTGTTTCAGAAGCATTAGGGGTATACATATATGGTACAGTATGTTCCTTATGAGGCTAGACTATAGATATGAGATGGAAGTGTAAATACATGAGCATAAGAAGACATCAAACTGTGTGTCTCTGTGTGTGTATGTGCACGCACATGTGTGAGTATAATGGTCTTGATATTTCCTGCCCTGAGGGGCTCACCAGGAGAATCATGCTTAGATTTCTGTCACATAATAGTTCCACAGAGGCAAACACAGGTAAGAAGGTAACTGCTGACAGACAGTAGATTCAGTGCTATTAGTTTCGTGTTCTTTCCCTGTCTTTTTGTCTTTTTCCTTCTGCCTGCTTGCATGTCCTTCTGTCTTACTATCTCAGTTTGCCATCCCTTCTTTATTTTCTTCCTCTGTTGTTTTTCTCTGTGTGTAGTGATGGATTTAAGATAAGTTGAAACGAAGTAAGTAGACAAGCACATTTTTTTTTTGTGTACAACTATGTGGATTATTGATTATTTGATTCTTTTTGAAACTCTCATTCCTTTTTATATTTTTCACCATACTTCGTGCATAATAATAAAATATGCATATTAAATAACACTGCAAGAGAATGATGTTATATTGTTTTACACAATTGAAAATAGCTATGTGGTGGTGGTGCATGGTTTGTTTCCACCACTAGAGACTGAGGCAGGGGTATTGTTTTGAATTTGATGGCAACCAGGTTTACAGAGCTAGTTCCAGGAAAGGTAGGCATACACAGAGAAACGCTGTCTAGAGAAACTAAAAGAAAAATAAAAAAATTACAGGAAATAATTTCAGGGTAAAGGGCCTTCTTTAACCTCTGAATATCTTCATGAAAAAGATTGTGACCACTTCCTCCCTGTGCGTAGAGCACTTTGGTCTCACTGTCAGCACAGCGCCCTCTGTACACTCTCTGCTGCATCACTCAGGTCTGCTTTGCTCCCCTGTTATGTTCGTGTCATTTCTTTCTTTTTTTTCATGTACAGTCCTTGCCATTTTTGTCCTATTTATTTCACCTAATATGGTATGTCCATTTCCAATGCTTGAGTGCAAATCTAGATATTATGTTCTTTAAAGCTGAAAAATTTCAATCATTCATGTAGTAAACATTTCACCAATTTATTAAAGTTATCAATGGTTTCTGTGGCTGATTTTATAACCAGACTAAAGCAATAGTTGCTTGACAGCCATGGCGGCAGACATTTCTTTATTGTATATCGACCTAGGTATCTCTGTGTCTATACAGAGGCATACTATAACTGGATCATGTGACAGTTTCATTTTGAGCTCTTTGAGGAAACCCAATTCATAAGTGAAACAATGATTTGAATATCTCAAAAATATAGTACAAATGTCCTATTAATGCGTAAAAAAACAACATAAGTAGTATTATGGAAATAAAACTCAAAACTACCTATGAAATTCTATCTCTCCCCACTCAGGAAGGCTGCCATCAAGGAAAACAACAGTAAATGCTTAGAAATAGAGAGGAAAGAAAAGACTTGTTTAAATATTGATGAAAATATGCATACTAGCATAATACACACGGAAAGCAGTTTGGAGTTTCCTCAAAGTTGCGTCAGGAAGTCTCTCTTAAAGAGCTGTGCCTCTGCTTGCCAACAGGAAACATAATACCAGGAAGCTGTGCTAGACTCTGTTTTTTGGTCTGTCTAGAATCCTTCTTTAAAAAGCTTTCTCAGGCTTTATGTCAAAATTCTTGCCAAAGGTTTGGACACCATTTGTAGAAAGAAGTTTCTGTCCTGACCTGTCCCACAACCATTCAGTCTCAAAGAAATACACAGAGGCTTATATTAATTTTAAATTGTTTGGCCTATTAGCTCATGCTTATTACTAACTAGTTCTTACAACTTAAATTCAACCATAATTCTTATCTATTATTAGCCATGTGGCTTGGTACCTTTTCTCAGTGAGACATTCTCATCTTGCTTCCTCTGAATCTGGCTGGTGATTAAAAACTAAGTCTTCCCTCTTCCCAAAATTCTCCTAGTGTTATCTATGTAGTGAGACCTTGTCTCAAAAACAAAACAAAACAAATCAAAACAAAAAAAAAACCAACCCAGCATCACTCATCAATGACAATAACAACCAAGACCAAGTAGATTTCATCCAAAGAATACAAGGGTGGTTCAACATGCAAATCAATTAATGGAATTCATAATATGACTAAACTTAAGGCTAGAATCACATGATCATACAGAAAAGGTATAGAAAAGGCATTGATAAATATTCCACATGTTTTCATAACAGAAAACCTAGAGAAATTGGGATAGATGGGCTCTATTTCAAGAAATAAATGCTACATGAGAAACATATAGCTAATGTTATATTAGATAAGGAAAAGCAGAAGCACCTTTATTTTCTTCCTTCTTTTCTTCCTTCCTCCCTCCTCCCTTCCTCCCTCCCTCCCTTCCTCCCTTCCTACATTCCTTCCTTCTTTTCTTTCTTTACTTATACCTATCTTCTTTTCTCACCCACCCATATTCTAACCAGGCAGGCTTCATCTGTCCAATGCTGGGGTTTTGTTCTGCCCTCTGCTCATCCATCAAAGTCCTTGTGTTTGTTCTCATCTTCAGGTACATTACACTGTATGTAACTGACACCATCTTCAATGTTGATTGACAAGAAAACATCCCATGAAGCTCTGGAGGAAATTTTCTCTTCGAGAGGTAAGGAGAAGTTACTGGTAATTCAGTTCCCATCCAAACAAAGAATCAGATAGAAATGTAGATAAATGGATAAAGAGAAGTTTATACAGTGAGTAGGTTGTTTTGAACTTTTTAAAACTTTTCTTTAAGAATATCACTCATTTACTTTTTTCATTGATAAAATGAATGGAATAAATAAATTACTGATTTTGTAGGTTTCTTTTCAAATTTAACACCCATTGAAATCATTTAGTATTGTTTGCATGTACACGAGTGTGGGATGATGTATTACTCAAGCATGGGTAGGCACAGAGCTTTCATTCCTGAAGAAAACTGACTTTCTCTTTCCCCACGATCTACCTAAGATCAAGCCAGTGATAATCCCAATGTGGATGGGGGAGGGGCCCATGGGATTTACTCTAAAGGGAGGTATAAGGTTGATCCAGCAGTGCAATTTGTAAGGACCAATGTCTACCTCATACAGTTTGTGCACCTATATATAGTCAATGAACTGAAAAATCTATATTCCAATTGTTGAGTCTTTTAGAATGCCTGAAAAGTTTTCGTCTTAAGGCTCCCTTTCACAGTTCAATTAAAGATGCCATGAGTAGCTAAAGTATGACTAGAAATCCAAGGGTAAAGATCTGAGGAGTAAGAAATCAACTCACAACAGGAGTTGTTCATCCATATTTCTTTTTTCTTCTTCTTTCTCATTTCTATCATTTTTCCTTGATCTCTCTTACACTTTCTTTTACATTGTTCCATACCTTATAAATGTTCCCAGTCATATATATCCATATACCAGAATTTCCCAAGCCCTAGCAGGTTCCAGAGATGGAATTCTTTTGTCCTATAGAAAATGAGATAAGAGTGTAACATGAAGGGCTGGCTTGTTTGTTGGGTCCTGTTTGTTGTTGGGGTTTTTGTCCTGCCCGCTACTTCATAACTGTTTAACCCCAAAGAAAATCTTACATAGGTCTTCATAAATTATAAGCTGATTGGCCCATTAGCTCTAGACTCTCACTGGCTAACTCTCACATCTTGATTAACACATTTTTATGATCTATGTTAGCCATGTGGCTCAGTACCTTTTTTCAGTGGGGCAGATCACATCCTGCTGCTTCGATGGTCTCAGCAGGAGTGGGAGTAATCAACTTCCTCCTTCCCAGAATTCTCCTGTTCTCATTACATCATTTCTACTTCCTTTCTGGTTTTCCCACCTATATTTCCTGCCTGGCCAATCAGCGTTTATTTAAAACATGATTGACAGAATACAGACACACCACTTCCCCCTCTTTTTTTTTTTTAAAAAGGAAAATATCCATAATCCATTTTTTGGGGAATGTGGGTGTAGTGAGAGTTAGCCACTGAGAGGCTAAAGCTAATGAGCCAATCAGCTTATAATTTATGGAGACCTATGTGTGATTTTCTTTGGGGTTAAACAATTGTGGGGTACCGGGCGGGACAAAAATCCCAACAACAAACAGTACCCAACAAACAAGCCAGCCCTTAATGCTACATAAGAGCTTCACAACATGCACACACCACAACATACAAACAACACACATACACACAGAGAGAGAGACAGAGATAGAGAGATATAGACTTTTATTTATAGTGCAATAAAATGTTTTTGGAGTACGTGGATACAGTATCAAGTTAATTATCAAAGGGTAATAATGACAGATAGCAGGAAATAAATAGCAGTCCAGAACTTTTAATAATTTTCCATATATTTTTGATAATTTTATTTAAAGTTTCTTTCTTGGTTGATCAGAGGGAAAGATGAAGATCTGCTCTCAGAAGAGAAGCTGCAGACTGGATTCCATGCAGAGAGAAAAGGAGAGTGAGAGTGAGTGGACTTGCATTCCATCAAGGTGGTTGATAGGTTTCTGAAGTGGTCATAGCCTCAGAGGACGATGGGAGCTTCTGCCCACATGGAGAGACTGGTGAGACACAAGGACAGTTGTCTGGGCATTGTTCAGCTGGAAAGTTGATGAGCAGTAGGCCGGACAGCAGCTGGACTCACAGCAGCAGGGTTGGAAGCACCAGCTGGTCACATGGTTTACATCAGGTGATCTAGCAGCAGGTGTTTTCACAGCAGGCTGGGCAGCAGCAGGGCTCACAGCAGCAGGGCTGGCAGCAGCAGGGCTGACAGCAGCAGGGCTGGCAGCAGCAGGGCTGACAGCAGCAGGGCTGGCAGCAGCAGGGCTCACAGCAGCAGGGCTGGCAGCTGGGTGTGCAGCAACAACTGGTCACACAGGTTGGCTTACAGCAGCTGGTCTTGCAGCAGGTGGTTTTACAGCAGCTGGGTTGGCAGCAGGGTGGAGAGCAGCAACTGGTCACACAGGTAGGCTTACAGCAGGTGGTCTTGCAGCAGGTGGTCTCACAGCAGCTCGGTTGGCAGCAGGGTGGACAGCAGCAGCTGGTCACACAGGTTGGCTTACAACATATGGTCTTGCAGCAGGTAGTTTTAGAGCAGCTTGGCTGGCAGCAGCTGGTCATGCAAGTTGGTTTACAACAGGTGGTTGTGCAGCAGGTGGTTTTGCAACAGCTGGGCTTGCAGCAGGGCTTGCAGCAGTTGGTAATACAGGTTGGCCCACAGCAGGTGGTCTTGTAGCAGGTGGTTTCACAGCAGCTGGGCTTGCAGCAGGGCTGACAGCAGGTGGTCACACAGGTTGGCTTACAACAGGTGGTTGTGCAGCAGGGCTGGCAGCAGCTGGTAATACAGGTTGGCTCACAGCAGGTGGTCTTGCAGCAGGTGGTTTCACAGCAGCTGGGCTTGCAGCAGGGCTGACAGCAGGTGGTCACACAGGTTGGCTTACAACAGGTGGTTGTGCAGCAGGGCTGGCAGCAGCTGGTAATACAGGTTGGCTCACAGCAGGTGGTCTTGCAGCAGGTGGTTTCACAGCAGCTGGGCTTGCAGCAGGGCTGACAGCAGGTGGTCACACAGGTTGGCTTACAACAGGTGGTCGTGCAGCAGGTGGTTTCACAACAGCTAGGCTTGCAGCATGGCTGGCAGCAGCTTGTCACACATGCTGGCTTACAGCAGATGGTTGTGCAGCAGGAAGGCTGGCAGCAAGGCAAGCAGCAGGAGTTGGTCATGGTGTTAGGTGTGGTTGGAGGGTTCCTGTCAACAGGTGAGGTTTTTACAATATGATGGGGTCTTGCATTTTGGACCTTTTATATGTCAGGTCTTTAAAACTTGAACCAATCAGTAAGACTTTTCCTTGATGTTGTTTACACCAGTTTTCATATTTAGTATATGTTTCATAAGGAAGTGCTGCTCAATGGTATGTATCATTTGAAAGTTTAATCTGATTCTTCTACCAGAATAACTCATAGGAAGTCTTTCAATAAATGGAAGGGTATTTGTCTACCAGTCTCCTTGTATCCTGGGTCATCTTCTGGTCACGGGGTACCCCTCATGTAATGGGAGCATCAGAGTATCTGTTGGTTTTCATTTTGTCTGTTCTTTGTGGTGGGATTTTTCATTGGGCTGACAACTCACAAAAACCAACATGGAGACTTACTGCTGAGTATGAAAGCTTGGCTGTATCCTAGACTTGTTTCTAGCTCGCTCTTATAACTTAAATTAATCCATTTCGATTAATCTGTGCTCCCTTGTGTCTCATGGCTTTTAGAGTCCTGCACGTTCTGCTTCCTCTGTATCTCGCTGGCAACTCTTGTACTTCTTCTCTGAGACCATCTCTCCCAGAAGTTCTGCCTAAACTTTTCCTGGCTTGCTATTCATCATTCAGATCTTTATAAACCAACTACATGACACATCTTCACACAGTGTAATTTAATATTCTGCAACAGTCTTCAACTTATGAAGTATGTGCACAATGGTGCTGTGTTCACTTGGATGGACTGGCTGAGTGTCTGTACTATTATACATAATTTCTCACATCAGATTAGCCCAGATATCTCTTTCTTTTCCTGCTCCTCCACCTGTGTGTCTCGGAAGCACTAGGGATACAGATATCTGGCACAGTATGTCCCTTATGATGCTCAACTATAGAAAACAGATGGAAGTGTAAATACATGAGTGTGAGAAGATATCACAATGTGTGTGTGTGTGTGTGTGTGTGTGTGTGTGTGTAATGGTCCTGATTTTTCCTGTCCTGAGGGGCTCACCGGGAGGATCATGCTTAGATTTCTGCCATACAACAGTTCCACAGAGGCAAACACGAGTAAGAAGGTAACTGCTGACAGACAGTAGATTCAGTGCTATTAGTTTCGTGTTATTTCCCTGTCTTTTTGTCTTTTTCCTTCTGCCTGCCTGCATGTCCTTCTGTCTTACTATCTCAGAATACCACGCCTTCTTTATTTTCTTTCTCTATTGCTTTCCTTTGTGTTTAGTGATAGATTTAAAATATGTTGAAATGTAGAAAGTAGACATGCACATTTGTGTTGTGTTTGTAACTTGTGGATTACTGATTTTTTTCTGACATTTTTTCCTTTTTATATTTTCAACCATAGTTCATACATAATAAGAGAATATACATATTAAATAACTCTATAAGAGAATAATCTGATATTGTTTTACGCCAAAGAGAATAGCGGAGTGGTGGTGGTACATGCTTTCAATCCCAATACTTGGGAGACTGAGGTACAGGGATCATTTTGAATTTAAAGTCAATCTGGTTTACATAGCTAGTTCGGGGACAGTCGGGGTTACACAGAGAATTCCTGTCTCAACAAAGTAAAAGAAAAAATAATTTCAGGGTACAGGGCCCTCTACATCCTCTGAATGCCTTTGTTCAAAAGATTGCGACATCTTCCTCCTTGTGCAAGGCATGCTCTGATCACACCACTGTCAGTACAATGACCTCTGTACACTCTCTGCTGCCTCACTCAGGTCTGATTTTCTCCCCTGTTTTGTTCATGTCATTTTTGCTTCTAATTTTCATATGCAATACTTGCCATTTTTAGTCTCGTTTATTTCACCTATTACAGGAACTCCATTTCCATCTGTATGTGTGCAAATATAGTAATTATTTTTTAAGGGTGAATGATTTCAATTATTTGTATATCACATGTTTTACCTTTTCATTAAATTCATTAAAGGGTTCTTGGGCTGATTTTACAATCTGACTAAAGTTATAGTCCCTTGTTGGCCATGGTGACAGATATTTCTCCATTGTATATTGACTTTGTTTTCTTTAGGTACAAACAGAGGTGTAATGTACCTGGATCATGTGGTAGTTCTATTTTTAGCTCTTTGACGGAACTCCAAACTGATTTTCATGGGTATTATGCCAATTTACACATTCTCATCAACACTTAAGAGTTCTTTTTTTTTCCTCCCTATATCCTAAGCATTTACAGTTTGTTTCCTTCATGGCAGCCTTCTTGACTGGGGGTAGATGGAATTTCATAAGTAGTTTTGGTTTGCATTTCCCTGATGACTACTTATATTATTATTGTTTTAATGAATTTACTGGATACTTATACTATTTTTTGAGATATTCAGACCATTGCACCCACTGCCCACCCATGGATTGGTTTGCTTTCAATTTTATTGTTAACTTTTAAAATCATTATGTATTCTGCATATGAATCCCCAGAATGAATAGCTTCAACTGAGTTTTCTTCTGTTTTTCTATTTTTGAGTTTTCCTTGGTTTATTGTTTCCTTATTTGCAAAGATATTTGATTTGATTCAATTGCATCTGTCATTTCTTGCTGTTATTTTCTGAGCTATTGAAGAGCTTTTTGTGAATCTATTGCCTGTGCCCGTGTTCTGAAATGTTTTCTTCAAACTTCTTCAAAGTTACAAATTTTATATAAAGTTCTATTTTAATTATTTTTATTCATCATTATTATTATTTGAGTTTTTTGTCCTTTTGTTCAACAAAAGATCTCATTATTTAGCTCTCGCTGGCCTGGAATTCACTATGTAGGTGAGTCTGGCCTTAATATCACAAGGATTTCCTTGAGTCCATCTCATGAATGTGGGGATTAAAGGCTTGTTTCACTATGCCTGGTAATAATTTCATATATGTATATAAAATATTTTTGTCATATCTCATTATCACTTGAATCTCACTTCTATTGAACCCTTTTCTCCCCCACAGTCTCCCACCTATATTCAGTGTGTGTGTGTGTGTGTGTGTGTGTGTGTGTGTGCAACCCACTGAGTGTAATTAGGTGGGCAGTTATGGGTAAGATAACTCTGGTTACACTAGTGAAGAAAGTCACTTTTTCTCCCCGACAGCCCTTTATTGGCAATGTTTCTTCAAGGAGGAACGGGGCCTCCGGAACTCTCCCCCTCTACGGTGGAATGTTAACAGCGTCTATCTCCTCCACAAAGTCGTGTTCCACAGCGCTCCTCCTCATCCTCCGGCTCTTCGATTGTTTCTGTCCTCTGTGGCAGGATGTATTCTGAGCCTCAGAGGGGGTAATGTGGATATACTGTTTGATTACTTTGAGCACTTTAAACAGTCATGTCTTTCTGACATTGTCATCATCACCCACTGCAAGCAGGAGCTTCTCTGGCCAAGATGGGGGGACAACACTAATTTATGGGAGCGTTTAAGTGGTAGCCGAGTTTTTGCTGAGTCAGAACTCTTACCATGAAAACAGCACATCCAGCTGCCCAAGACAGAAGTCAAGAGTTCAGATGCCCTTTAAGGGGACAACATACAGGTAGCACAAGTACCCAGCTGTGCATCACCTCACCTTTAATCCCAGTACTTGGGAGGCAGAGGCAAGAGGGTCTCTGTGAGTTCAAAGCCATGGTGGCTTGCACAGAGCTCCAGGACACTCTGGGTTACATAGAGAGATTCTCTTTTTGTTTCTTTGCTTTAAAAAGAAAATAGCTCATGTAGCTGCAGAGTCATTTTGCGCAAAGGCAACTTGTAGAAAGGAGTAGCTCAGACATTAGGAGATCAGGCACTGGTGTTGTGATAGAAGGAATGCCATTTCTCTACAGATAACTAACAGATGAAGCGTGGAAATTTAGAGCCCAGCGAGCCACACTTAGGCAGTGCCTTGTCCGGTGCCGTACAGCAGAGGGACACTGTTCCTTCTTGCTTGTGATATTTTTTCCTGATGGCATGAGATATCTTCAAACACTGGAATCTTATTTGTATAATGCTTGCAATATTAGAATGTCATCTATCTAGTATCAGAAAAAGAAGAGACCAAAAGATCTAGACATGTGTGTGGAGAAATTTGGACTCTTTAAACTTTAAAAAATGAAAATGATGTGTTTATTATATTTTATGTATATGAGTGTTTTGCCCGTGTGTATGTATATACACCACATGCACAGGGATGTCAGAAGAGGGCACTGGATACCTTGGAACAAGAATTGCAGGTGGTTGTGAGTTGCTATGTGGATGCTCAAAATGAACTGAGGCTTCTACTCAAGAGCAATTTGTGCTCTTAACTATGGTGCCTTCCCTCTAGCTCCAAATCTGGGAATCTTGCACAGCAGTAAAAATATGAAGAACAATAGGTGTGCAGAAATTTACAAAGACTCTTCAAAAAATAAAAGTAAAGGTACTTTATGACTCAGTAGCCATATCTCAGGAGAGTTATTCAAGTTAATTGAAGGCAGAACTTTCTTTTAATTCAAATTTTTATTTTTAATCATGTTCATTTATTGAATGTAGTGAGGGAATCTATAAACTCCTTTAAGTATGTCACGGACTTGTGTACTTTGATGATATTTGTTCTTCCATAACCCCTCCCCTGACTAGTTGCCCCCTTCTCATAGAACTTCTATAGGATTTGAAGTTCTGAGTAAAATCTGGGTTTACAAATGAGAACACTTGGTTGATAATTTTTCTGAGTGTGGTTTATTTTATTCAAAATAATAATCTCATATGCACCTCTTTTCTAGCAAATGACATGGTTGAAATCAGAATCCTAAATTGCTACTGACACTCCCAAGTTTATGTCAATTCCATTAATAATTGATAAGATGTAACTTAATCTTAGATGCTCTTTGAAAAGAAAATGGATAAAGAAAATAAGACAGAAAGTTCATTTCTATATATAATCCCACCAAAATGATATGTATATAAGTCAGACAGCAAAGGAGAGAGAACTTGCGTTCTGGAAGCTGAGGTTGGAGGAACCAGGAAGATGGTAATCATAGGTTTTAAATTTCAATTATTCCAGATAGAAACCTTTCATGAATCTATTGTTCAATACCACGCTTCGTGTCACGGATGCAGGGAAACCATGTTGAACATATAAAAATCTACAGGTTATGTGAATTTTTCATTAAGTGATTCATCAAAATAAAATGACAGACACTATGGAATGATGCTAGCACAGAGTTTATTAAAATTGCTTGCTTCCAGGGACATATCTCATAAGTGAGCAGAAAGAAGAAAATAGCACTAAGAATTTGGGTTGACTCCGAAGAAAACACAGTTGAGAAGATAACAAGTTAATACAAAATTCATTTTGGGGGTAGTGTTTTCTTAGGTTATTTGGTGAGAGATATAAAGATCCTAGCTCAGATTTTAAACTAATACAAGACCTTCACATTAGCACCCCATGAAGATAGCAGAAGATCCATAATCTCTGGAGATAAGGAGAGAGACAGGCCGAGGGACACCATCCTTCATCAAAGCATTCACCACACTTGGGTTGGAATTTACATTCCTCAGGTTTCCTGGTGAGAACTTGAAGGGGGTCTGCAAATTTTAATATGTGACTCTTGCATCTAGGGCATGTCAACTCTCCCCATAACATGGTTGTGCAAATGTTTCTTAGGGGAGCTGCTCAGCAGCAGCAAGGCTAGCAGCAGGGTGTGCTGCAACAGATGTTCACACAGGTTGGCTTGCAACAGGTGGTGTTGCAGCAGGTTCTTTCACAGCAGCAGGGCTGGCAGCAGGTGGGCACACAGCAGCAGGGCTGGCAGCAGCTGGGCACACAGCAGCAGGGCTGGCAGCAGCTGGGCACACAGCAGCAGGGCTGGCAGCAGCTGGGCACACAGCAGCAGGGCTGGCAGCAGCTGGGCACACAGCAGCAGGGCTTTAAGCAGCAGGGCTTACAGCAGGGTATGCTGCAACAACTTGGCGGACAGCAAGATTGGCAGCAGATAGACATGGGGCAGCTGGATTCACAGCAGCAGGGCTGGCAGCAGGTGGTCTTGCAGCAGGTGGTCTTGCAGCAACATGGCTCACAGCAAGGTGGGCAGCAACAGAGGGCCATGGTAGCAGGTGTGGAGGGTTTTACTCTGTTCACAGGTGAGTTTTCAACAGTGTAGCAAGTTTTTCCAGTCAGGGCCTTTTATACCATGGGCCTCCAATGTTTGGGCCAATCAAAAAGACTCTTCTTCTTTGTTCACTATTTCCATATTTAATTTGTGTTCATGAAGAAGGAAATTCTCACCTTATGCTCTGAATCATTTGGAAGCATCCTTTTCTTATTTGGGGATAACCTACTTGAACTCTTTCCAATAACTCGGGTGCTCATCCCGTCAGCTTTGTTGCAGCTCTAGTCGTCATCAGGTCTTTGGTAGCTCCTGCTCTATGGGAAGGTCAAGACTCCTTCATTCTTATAACTTTCTTCTGCCACCTGTGCTTAGATTCATAAATGTCTCTGGGCATGAGTGAGCTGTATTCACAACGATGAACTCAACATCTGGTTCCCTGTCTTTGCTCACAAAGCCCAATTCCAAACTGTCCCAGGTATGTGTCAATCTCTGTATAAATTTCCATCCCTGTGTATTTGATGGTCATTAAGTTTGGTTTGAGCTAAGATTGTCTGGAGTGGTGTTTTTCATAGCAGAGTGGAACCAGCACTGGTTGGTATAAAAAAACCCAGCATATTAAGAATAAGGAGGCATCAGGGGAGATGTGAGTGACCATCATTCCCGAATGACTGTCTTCTCCTAGGAGCGTATGAGGAAGAAGTCCTTACATTCAGACAAAAGAGTGTGAGCAGGTGACTCCAGTGTACATCTGGCTGTCAGCAGGGGCAGTGACCGTAGACTGGTGATCTCCTGATTCCCTCAGTTTGCTTTGCTCTCTATAATTTTATTCCCATCCCTCACTGTCTGGTCTTTCTTCTTCATTATCTTCTCTACTCTACCACTTTTCTTTCCATTCAGTGAAAGAGTCATGATTATTTGAGACATACCTAATTTATTACCTAATTTATCTTTGGGGAATAAGAAGCGCACCCCCTCTCTATTTTTAGTCTACTATTCACACTAAAAATACATAATTATTCATGCATTAATTAATATGTTAATTTCCCATTCGAGATAATAAAAGGTGAACAGAGCTATAGATAGCATTATTAAAGAAATGGAAACTAATTTTGGTCCTTACAAACCATTTCATGTCACTCATCCTCAGAAGCTGGCTCTCACTGTCTTAGAGGGTCAGTCTTCCAACCTTGGCATCACTTTGAACGTCTTTGTGAATCAAAACAGTCTGTGTCCTTGATCATAGGATGACTGTGACAACCCTCCCTATCCTGACCCCAGTTTGTTCATTCTCGTGTTTGTGTAATATTCCACTCAATGAATTTGACACTGCTCACTGATTGGAATTTTGCCCCTAGAAACAGGTTGTTTATAGTTTGGGACTATTCAAAACAGCACTTCTAGAAATGTTTCTTTTTAAAACACTATTGCTGTAAGTACACATCCGGGTACATGGAGGTTTGCTTAACATGCAAGGTTGGTACTTTGATTTGCAGAAGCTTTGTGCTTCTTTTACTAGACTTATTCTTGGACAGTATCGTTTTTGTTGGACCATATGTGTTTATTTTATTTTCTATTTTTTTTTGAGGCAGTGTTTCTCTGTGTAGTCTTGTCTGTTCTGGAACTCACTCTGTAAAACAGGCTGGTCCTGAACTCATAGAGATCCACCTGCCTTGCATTCCAGTGCTGGGATTAAAGGTGTGCACCACCACCCTCTGGCTGCACTATATGTGTTTTAATTTAAAACTTATATTTATGTGTCTTATGACATATAGAAATTGTCACAGCATGCACTGATTTTCCAAAGCTGTGCATTTGATCACAGCGTTGTCCTAAATGTACGTAACACCGTTGATAAAATTCCCTCACCATCACCCTCTCTGAAGTCCCTTGTGGCCACCTCCTGATTCTCTTTCTCTTCCCAGATTGTCCTATTGCTTCTTTCGTGTCCCCACCACTCCTTAGATGATGGAAGCTTGACTTTTCTTTGGAGTCCTCCTTACTTCACTTTATCAAGATGACCTCCAAATTTTATGTTTTCTGGAAAATGACATCATTTATTCTTCCTCATATGCACCATGTCTTATTCATGCATCCATCCACTGACATACAAACAGGTTGGTTCTTTGTTGTATGTACTGTGGAGGAGTCATGTGGTGGTTATAACTTTAATTTTTTGTAAGATCCTACAAGCTAATTTCCATACAGACTTGCTAATTTCCATCCCATTAATGGTGTGTAAAGGTTTCCTTTCCCCCTGGATCCTCACCAGCACTTGTTATTGTTGGTTTTCTTGATGACAGCCCTTCCTGAGGGGAGTGAGGTAGAATTTCAAGGAAGTTTTAATTTGTATTTCCTGGTGGTAAATGGTATTAAACATTTTTTTCTCATATATTCTTTTATTCATTGGTACTTTTTTGTTTTTTTTAGAAAGTCTTCAAATACTTTGAAGCTTTAGTTATTGTATGATCTTTTCTTTTCATTTCAGATTTTATATTCTCATATATATGTATGTGTATCCACTTTGGATAACTAGCTGACATCATTCCTACTCAGATTGTCACCTGTTCATGTGGCCCGATCAGGGTTATTGGTTTTCTACACAGCTGATCTTTGCCTGCACTTAAAAAGGTTATTGGGGGATACACATGATGCTATGTCACCCATAGTGATGAACTAAATAGTTGACTTTTAGCCTGAATCTCCTTTATATTAACCAACAGTATTCACAGCATACAGAAGTGAATCCCACATCAGTTCAGGCTTCTGTTTCCTAAGAGACTATCCATCCTTGTCTCTGTGTGAAGATAGGTTTGTGTTTTGGCAGAGGTAAGGAGGAGCAAGAAGTGATGGGCAAACCAAGTGATGGGTTTACAAATGCGAGCACTTGGTTGAATTGTATTGGGTGTGGTTTATTTTACTCAACTTGATAATCTCATATGCAGCTTTTTCCTCCTAGCAAGTGACATGGTTGAAATCAGAAGCCTAAAGGGATACTGACACCCCCAAGTTTATGCCAATCCCATTAATAATTGACAAGATGAAGCTGAATTTTAGATGCCTTTTGACAAGCAAACAGATAAAGAAAATAAGACAGAAAGTCCATTGCCATATATCACTCCACCAAAATGTTGTGTATAAAAGTCAGACAGCAAAGGAAAAAAGACCCTTGGTTTATGGGAGCTGAGGTTGGAGGAGCCAGGAAAATGGTAGCCATTGGGTATTAAATCTCAGTTATCCCAGTAGAAATCTTCCATGGATCTAGTGCTGAACTCCATGCTTAGCATCACTGATAGAGGGGAACCATGTTGAGCATTGAAAATTCTATTGATTATGTGGATTTTTCACTCAGTGATTTATCAAAATGACAGACACCAATGAATGATGATAGCACAAAGTTTATTAAAATTGCTTGCTCCCAGAGACACATCTTACAAGTAACCAGGAAAAAGGAAATAGCACATAAAATCTGGGGGTGACTCAGAAGAAAATGCAGTTGAGAACATAACGGGTTAAATCAAGTTTCATTTTGGGGGTTGTGTTGTAACTTATTTGGTCAGAGATATAAAGATCCTGGCTCAGAATTTAGACTGATACCCGATCTTCACACCAGCCCCCCATGAAGATGGCAGAAGATCCATATTATCTGGAGATGAGGAGAGGGAGGGTGAGGGATTTGATCCTAGGTTTCCTGGTGAGAACATGAAGGGGGTGTGCGAATGTTAATGTGTGACTACCGCATCTTGGGCCTGTCAACTCTCCTCAGAGCATGGCTGTGCAGGTGTTCCTTTGGGGTCAGAGGCAGCAGGGTGTGTAGCAGCTAGTGGCCACACAGGTTGTTTTAAGAGAGGTGGTCTTGCAACTACTGGTTTCACAGCATGTTGGTTGGCAACAGCGTTGTAGCAAGCATGGCTAGCAGCAGTAGGGCACACAGCAACAGGGCTGGCAGCAGCGAGTGCTGCAGCAGATTGTTGTAAGGAGGCTGCTATTAGTTCCCGGATGTTTAGCCCCGAAATAATCACACAGAAACTATGTTATTTATTTATTTATTTTATTTGTTAAGTATATCTAATATTTATTTTCTTCAAAACCACTACATTTTTTTAATTTTTAAAATTTATTTATTTATTTATTAAAAATTTCCACCTCCTCCCATCCTCCCATTTCCCTCCCACTCTCCCCTTCCCCCCACCTCCAGTCCTAAGAGAAACTATGTTATTTAAAACACTGCTTGGCCCATTAGCTTTAGCTTCTTATTGGCTAATTTTTACATCTTAATTTAACCAATTTCTTTTAATCTGTATATCGTCATGCGGCTGTGGTTTATTGGCTAAAGTTCCACCTGCCTCCAGTGGGGCTGCATCGCTTCTCCCTGATTCTGCTTCCTTTCTCCCAACATGCCATTTAGTTTTCCCCGTGTACCTAAGATCTGCCCTATCTGCCAAGGCTGTTCCTTTATTTATTAATGGTAATCACAGCATACAAAGGGAAGTCCCACATCAGCAGATGTTCACACAGGTTGGCTTGCAACAAATGGTCTTTCAGCAGGTGTTTCCTAGCAGGTGCTTTCACAGCAGGTGGGTACACAGCAGCAGGGCTGGCAGCAGGTGGGCACACAGCAGCAAAACTGACAGCAGGTGGGCACACAGCAGCAGGGCTGGAAGCAGCTGGGCACACAGCAGCAGGGCTGGCAGCAGCTGGGCACACAACAGCAGGGCTGGCAGCAGCTGGACACACAGCAGCAGGGCTGGCAGCAGCTGGGCACACAACAGCAGGGCTGGCAGCAGCTGGGCTCACAGCAGCAGGGCTGGCAGCAGCTGGGCACACAGCAGCAGGGCTGGCAGCAGCTGGGCTCACAGCAGCAGGGCTGGCAGCAGCTGGGCACACAGCAGCAGGGCTGGCAGCAGCTGGGCACACAGCAGCAGGGCTGACAGCAGCTGGGCACACAGCAGCAGGGCTGGCAGCAGGTGGGAACACAGCTGCAGGGCTGACAGCAGCT